CGCGAACGGCGCGAGTACGCCTCGTGAAGCAGCGCGTGTTCGGCTCGTTCGTTAAACCTAACGAGCCGAACACAAACAAATTTTTAATCTTGAAATGTAAACGAGTCAAACACGAACAAAAGTTTGTTCGCTCGTGTTCGACTCGAATTGACTCGAAAATAAATAAATATATATATACATAATAAATATTCATAAAATTAAATATTAAATATTATAATTAATTAAATTTTTCTAAAAAATAAATTATCACATTTTATAAAATCAAATAATATAAATTATAATATATAACAATTTATTACTAATAATATTTATTAGTTATATAATTATTATGTATTTATATAATAGTATAATATAAGTGAAATAATTAAAATATATTGAGATATGTATACTCTTTAACAAAAAAATCCTAACCAACCCCCCATCCCTGTCTCGAAACTTCTCGCATTCGGCTGCCTCTCTGAGTTTCCCTTTTGCGACTACTCCTCTGTCACGGTCGCGACAGCTTAGGGTTTGCCTTCTGTGTTTTACATCTAATCTCTACTTCTACTTCTCCTTGGATAGGCAGCGTTGGCTCGATTGATCGGTATTCTTGCTTGGTTGCTCGATATTCTTGTACGGTTGCTTGTTTGGATACCTAGGTGTTATCTTTGAGTATCTTTTCTGTAATATTTCATATTTATTTTCAGGTATGCCTCTTGTCTCAAACTTTCTTAATTTGTTTTAGATTTATTTAGATTTTTTGAGTGAAACATCGCTTTGTAGGGTTTTTGGCAGTGAAACATCGCTTTATAGCAGTGTTGGCTCGATTGATCGGTATTCTTGCTTGGTTGCTCGATATTCTTGCACTTCTTGCACGGTTTCTTGTTTGGATACCTAGGTGTTATCTTTGAGCATCTTTTCTGTAATATTTCTTATTTATCTTTGGGCATGCCTCTTGTCTTAAACTTTATTAAATTTCTTTTAGATTTATTTATATTTTTTGAGTGAAACATGGCTTTGTAGGGTTTTTGGCAGTGAAACATCGCATATTGCATTTATATCTGTTATTTTCTTGTTCAAAGTAATTTATTTTTTTTCAGATGTAAGTTAGGTATGCACCATCACATATCTTTTTCTTAGTTTTATATTGGTCATCAGACTCATCCTTTTGGGTTAGTCCATAAGATTTGGGATATAGTTTTATAAAGTTGATGATAAAAAATCTTACACAAACTTGATATTTCTAGGAACTTCATATTTTATATGAATGTCCTTCATCAGTTTTGGGGCCATGCTTTTTTGATAACTTGTCGTCTCTATTTTTGGCCATCAAATATTGTACAACTTTGTTGCAAATTGATGAGAGTATTGTGTTGCTTTATGGTGAGCTATATCAGGTAATATTTATAGAGTAGCTGCCTAGTTATGTTACTCAAGGGGAATGCTTTCACAGTGGTACCACACATTTCAATTCATCTCCATCAAGCATATGCTATCAAGCTCTTCTTCTGATATAGATGTTTAGGGTTTTCCTTATAGATGGGGTCTTTCATAAGAATTATGGTATCCATTTTTCTGAAGTTACAAATCTTCTGATATATATGTTGGACATTATATTTTTGTTGGAAGTAGGTTTGTTGTTTATAAAAGTAAGTATCAACTTGTTATGACAAGATCCAGTGTTATATAAGTTATCGCCCATTCTGGAAGCACATGGGCACAATAAGGTGGATAAAGACCCTCTTAGGAGTTTTATTTTTCTTTTACATAGCCTATGGGAACTTGTTTTACATTTTTTCTGTTTAGTGGGAACTTGTTTTATGCCCTCTATTTTTTCACCTATGAAAGATGTTATTCTTTGTCATGGGTTCTAAGATTCAATGCTGAACTTTAGTGTATGTTAATTATGCTTGCTGTAGGCTTTCATTCATGCAGACTGAAGATGTTTTTAGCGGAAGTTAATTGGGAATTCAATGCTGAACCTATGGGCTCCATTTTTCATCATAAATACCATGTCTAATTATAAAAGTGTAAAACTCTTAATTCTTATTTCAATTAGATAGCGAATGTACAATTTATATAAAGGGTGTATAGCCGAATTAGTGGACCGGGGAAGCGAGTGATACATAAATTTATAATATTATGGTCCTATCCATGGAAATACATAACCAGGATTTACATTTAGCTAGTTATTAAGAAGTCTTTTAATTTTTGTTGTGCCTCATTAATGTTTTGTAGGAACTTGTTTTATGCACTCTGTTTTTTCATTCCTGCGGTTTTGTGCTTCATGAGGGTGCATGAAATCAACAGAGTTTCTTTTCAGATAAGAATATAAAAAATATTTTAAGATGATTCTTCTTACTCTTAATTTTGGAAGGCAACATAAGTTTGCAAACATTAAGATAAAAATATAAAAAGTTGCAGAAGGCTGGGATAGATATGCTAATTAAGAGCAGAACATATGATATGACTTTTGCTATTGAAGATGTTAATTTTGAAAATAATACTTTCTTAGAAAACTCTCTTTTTTAATCAGGTTTGACATTGCAAGTGAAAATTTTGATTATTTGGCATTGCAGGTTTGGCAACACAAGTTAACATACTAACGAAAGATTTGAGATGAGTGTAATATTAATTTCTCATACCAGTTAATCACGTTTTGGGCCCTTTCGTTTTTCTCACCAAGAATTCCTTTTTTACATATATATCGCACAGGGAAGTCATATTTCAGATTTGAAAGAATCATATTTGTGTGAATGTTCAGAGCCAAACTTATTCAGCTTCTGACTCCTCTCCCAAGTGAATTTATTATCATGTTGTTACTGCATAAACTTTAGTATTATACGAATTAATAAAACCATGTAGATACAAAAATTATATAGATATACGAGTTAACTTAGATATTCAAATCATTATTATACTATTTATATGTGAGCTCCTGATAGTGTTGGTCCAAATTGCTGATGGCTGCATCATATATATTCTAATTCAAGGAAGACGAAAGGAAACAAACCCCATCCTTTCTTCTCTTCCCACTATTATATTATTCTAGTCCCTCATTAATTTTTCTTTTTAAACTCTTACAAAGAAGAAGAAGAAGAAGACGAGGAGGAGGATTTCCGCCATGGGAAGAGCTCCATGTTGCGATAAGGAGAAGGTGAAGAAAGGACAATGGTCACCAGAGGAAGATGCCAAACTCAAGTCTTACATAGAGTAGAACAGAACTGGTGGAAATTGGATTGCTCTTCCACAGAAAGTTGGTATAATTATGAAAGTTGGTATAATTATTTCATCCCTATTTAATCTTCTTAATTAATCGAGCCATGATCTTCATCATCATCAAAAGTCATATTTTGAAGTGTTGAGGATCAGAGAATGATTCTTAAATAATCCTTTTTTTTTACTGAAAAATATGTTTTTTTTTTAAATCCCATAACCAAAATATATATTATTTCAGTTAAAAAACCAGGCTTTTATTGAAACAGGAGGTCTTTGATTGTCGCCCAGTTGCCGGGAAGAACAGACAACGATATAAAGAACTACTGCAATTCTTGCTCCAATGGTGTGAGCTTGTGGTTTACAGAAATTAGTTTTAGCAGTTTGAGTTGTTTGTAAAACATAAGAAGAATTAAATGTACAGTACAATTATTTTTTAGATTTTGATTTTTATTTTGAGATTTTATTTGTATTTTTTGTACTCTTGTTTAGTTTGTACATTTTAAAATTCGTAATAAATTGATTCTTATTTTGTAAGTTTTTGTCAAATAATATTAATATTCTTGTGTAAAATTTTATAATCAATTTTGCAAAGTTTTTTGGGTGAATCATTTTTTTAGTTAATAAATCTCTGAACTTTGGTATGAAATTTGTTCTTGAAAAATTTTTAGACAAAATTATTATTTTTTTTAAAAACTAATTTTTATTAAAATAATTTTATATTATAACGAGTCAATTCGAGCCGAACACAAACATGAAATTGTTATTTGAGCCGAACACGAACACACTGTTCACGAGCCATTTCGAACACGAGCCAGATTCAAACGAGCCGAACACGAGCCTAGCCTGAGCTCGCTCAGGCGCCCCCTGCATCTCGGCTTGTTTACAGCCCTATGCAAAAGAGTGGCAACTTATAGAGGAATTAAGTTGATGAGTCATACTTTAAAATTATGGGAGAGTAATTGAACATAGGTTAAGACGTATTACAAAGATTTCTCATAATTAATTTGGATTTATGTCGGGCATGTCTACTATGAAAGTTATATATTTATTGAGAAGTTTGATGGAGAAGTTGAGAGATAATAAGGAGAATCTACATTTGATTATATATTGATTTAAAAAAGCTTACGATAAGATTCCAAGAGATATCCTTTGGAGAGTTACTGAGAAGAAAGGTGTTGATATGACTTATATTCAAGTCATTAAAGATATGTATGCTAGTGCTTTTACTTGTGTTCGAACTGTAGGAGGATTGACCAATTTTTTTCCTATTTCTGTTGGATTACATCAGGGATCGGCTTTAAGCCCACATCTTTTTTGCTTTAGTTATGGGTGGTCTTACTGAACATTTACAGGAGGGTGTACCTTGGCGATGTTTTTTGTTGATGATATCCTTCTCGTGGATAAGACGAGAGAAAAAATGCAGGAAAAAATTGAATTATGGATGTTTGCATTGGAGTCTAAAGGCTTTCATTTGAGGAGAACTAAAACTGAATACATGTAATGTAATTTTAGTAGTAATAGCTCTAGTGGCAGAATTGTAACTTTGGGTAATTAAATTATTAAAAGGTGTGAACGATTTAGATATCTCGGGTCTGTTGTTCAAAGCGATGGTGATATAGATTGGGATGTTAATAGTATAATTCAAGTTGGTTGGTTGAAGTGGAGGAATGCTTCGGGGCTTTTGTGTGATAGAAAAGTACTGCTTAGATTGAAAGGAAAATTGTATAAGACAGTGGTGAGACCTGCAATGCTCTATGACGCTGAATGTTGGCCTTTAAAAGAGAAGCGTAATACTAAGTGTTGCCGAGATGAGAATGATTAGGTGGATGAGTGGCTTTACACTTAGAGACAAAATGCGAAATGAATAAATCCGTGATAGGGTTGGTGTAGCTCCTGTGACGGACAAAATCAGAGAAAGTCGTCTTAGATGATTTGGTCACATTAAGCGTCGACCATCTGATGATTCGATTAGGAAAGTAGATGTTTTAGATTCAAGTTATGTTAAGAAAGACAGAGGTAGACCTAGAAAAACTTGGGCTTATTATTTTAAAAAATGATCTTAATTTATTAGAACTAAATGAAAATTTAGAAATTAATATTAACATTAATATGCCACTAAATAGGATGTAAGGAGAAAAAATGATTCATGTAGCCGACAAAAAAAAAGAAAAAAAAAAAAAAAAAGAAAAAATGTTGTTGTTGTTGTTGCTCATTGTCATAGAAGATTGCTTCACGAAATTGCCAAGTAGTCAAAAGCAATTGAAACTTTGAAAATTGAATATAGAAAGACGAGAAAGGCCTGTACTCTTATGGGAAGAAGCTCATCAGACAGTTCATCTGGAATAATGTTTAGAAATTGTAACAAAAGGTCTGTAGAGAGTGCATATATAATTTTCAAAAGCATTAGGAGATATTTTATGTATGATCAATGGCCTTTTGTCCACCAAATAGCAAACTTGACATGAACTGCTCAATGGGTAAGGTAATGGTGGCCTTGGCTAAAATTTTAATTTGTTTAGTGGAATTAGAGTAGTTGATAGAATAGCAGGCCAAAGTTTTAATCTAGCCTTCGGGGATTGACTAGGTGTAGTTTTCGTTTTTAGTCCTAGATTTGTGTTGTTGCTCAGGTGAGATCTTAGTAATCTTAATTGGAAACAACTGAATAGATGCGCTATTGAATTTAAAAGCATAAGTTCTATGTCATCCATAAAAATTTACATTAATGCCATACATCCATAGACAACCGAGGAGTATATGTGCAACATTCATGAGTAGTCATTACAATATTTTTTGTCTTTTGACTATGTTTATGGATAATAAAAAAATGCGCTCAATAATAGGTATGAGTGCTCAGTTCACCCAAGCTACTTGAAAATGAGTAGAATGTGGTTCTACTTTTAAGTTAACCGTGAGCAAAGCCTCAATCAAGATAACATTTACTGAACTCCCATCATCAATAACTAAATTGTCCATATTATTTTCGAGCCTATTGGTGCTTTGTCTAAGTTTCATATCTAAATATGAAATCCCTTGTCATTACTAATTAGGCTTTTGGTGAGCCTCTGTTCAAATCTGTTATCCTGGACAAGATATTCAACAAAAATTTTCTAAACTTGTCCTAGAGCGAGTGACCTGTTTACTAATAGTGTTGTAATATGCAAGTGCAACCTAATTGATATTGCAAATGATTTACTTGAAGTAGTTGGTGTTAGAAATTAATGCAACAATAATCAATTTTCTTCTATTATAAAAATGAAATTTAATGCTTTGAAGTAAGTTGAAAATAACTCATTTCAGGACGGGATGGTTTTGTGGGATCATTAAGTTCACTTGCATATAATTCTCACCTGGAATAATGAATAGCAGGGCTTATTAATAGGCTTATTTTTGGTTCATTTCAACCAATCATTTGATAAATAAAATTAATTTATCATAACATCTATAAAAATTATTATTCCTTATTTCCTTGTCACAATAAGTTGAACATCAGAAAGTTGCAATCTTCAAGCAGGCAGAAGATCTCTCTAAAGCTGTCAGTTAGTAGCTGGTAATATAGTTGAGTGTTGTCATGCACTTGCTGAAGCAGTGATTAGGCTAGCGGTAAGAGAAAGGATTAAAGTGATCGCTTAATTGAATGAGAGGTTGAAAAAGGCAGTTCGATGTTGTTGTGGAGTCGTTGCCTTGCAAATGGGGTTAAATCACTTTTGCAAAGAGCAAGGGCAGAAGGAAAGAACCTTGAACTGGTGTTTGTTTGGTCATGGTGGAGCACAACAATTGGGTAGGCCTTTGAAAAAAGTCAATTTTGAGTAACTACACAGTTAAATCACATGTGTGTAAGAATGTGCATGTGAAGTATGTTGTGAAAAACAACGTCAATAAAGCGAAAAATTGGAACGAAAAATTCACCAAACAGAAAACACAACGGAACACACAAATTTACATAGTTAGGCAAATTGTCTGTGTCTACAGAGCTGCAGAGAATTTTATTGCTCTGAGGATTACACCCATCGATCACCTCGACGATTATAAGAAAAAAATCTCTCTCTCTTCCTCTCTACCCGCAAGCCACGCCAAAGAAGGGAACACCAAGCGAACCAACAGACTTGCTATTCCCTATGCCTTTCTACACCTGTGAACCCCACAACTTTGAGTCAGCACCGAAGGAGAGCAATCCACATGAGAGCTGAAGCCTACCTTTCTTCTGTTAGCAAAAAAACTGAAGCCAATTCGGTACAGCCAAAGCCTTGCGATTCCTCCTGAGCGAATTCTAGATGGCGGGATGAGCAGGAAGGAGCGGGATCCAATGATTCACAAATCCTTCTTTTCCCTCTGACTTCCTTATTCGCGAAACCGAGAGAATTACGAGAGGCGGGAAACTTCAATCGCTATTTTTCAGGAGGAATAACCGGCAGAGCCTTTTAGCATAGTTGAAAACTGTCCAAACGAAGTAGTGGACCGGGCTCCACCTTAAAGTAGATAGGTGGGATGCACACGATAGTGGGTACAATGTGCGTGGATCATACTAGAGATGTTTGATTGTACATGCGGAAGGAACAGAATTTGTCCATGGGGAGAGTTTTGAGAGTAGTGTGTGGTTTGTGATATTTAGAGTTTGTGGTATAAGCACGTAGCTTGCTGGAGTATTAGGCAAAGGTGTAAGCTTGCTCATAATTTGGAAACTGCCTATGAATGAAGATGTGTGAGGTTTGGGTCAAACTTGAGCAGGATTTGTGAAGGTTGGGCTACAAACAAGGTGGGGTTATTATACGAGTCACCGATTAGGGATATATTGAGTACAAGAATAGAGCATAGGAAATCACTTGAATTAGAGATTTAACATTTGTAAGATACGATGAACAAACTTTGATTCCAAAGTTTTTTAAAGGGGAAGAAAGGAACTTCATGTGCACAAATTGGATCTAAACAAATCACTTCCCTATAAATAATTAATTTTATTTCTTCATAGATCAATACCTAAATATTTATCATGGTCCCCTATTTTTAGAATTAGGATTACAAGAATTTTTTATAATTTAAAAGAAGATAACGTTGATAAAATTATTCAAGTAAAAGAATGAGTTCGGCCATAATAATAATTGGCCTTGAAAATGCTTGAAAGTTTGTCTGATGCAGATTTGTTTTTGCTTGGTTTGACTTATAGTAATGGGCATAAGCCAATTGGGCTTTTGTGGCCTATTTTGGTCTTCGATGCCCGCTTGTGTGGTTGATAATTTACCTAATGCAGATTGCAAAAGCATTGATATAAAGGCATGCTCACAAGTATCTGATCTAAGAAGAGAATTGAATTGAAAAGATAACGCTAGATTCTAAAATCTGTATTGTTTTCCTAATAAGAAAGTAAGTCCAATAGATAACTTCTATAACTAAAATAAGAAGTTGAATCCCAACATGATT